GTCTGCTGTAGGGGAAAAACATTTCTGTTGTAGTTCCTACTACAGTGGGTCACATTTGGCATTTTGCCAAAAGGTGGAAACAACACCTGTGTTGCTGTCACATTTGGTAACCAAATCTTATCAGTACTATACCCTACATACTTCATATTTGTAGTCCTCCAAAATCTGTGTGATTTAGTTGATCTGAGAGTTTTGCAATCCATTGTGCCTCGGGTGGTTGGTCGTAAAGGGTGTTTCAGTATCGAACACATCATTATGACAAATTATTCTCTTGCATTCACGAAGGACTCAGCCAATAACATCGTAACAGTGATGCAATTATGATGTGCTAATCACTGCTTTACGAATCGGCCTAAAGGAATTCAGTATGGCGCAACGCTGTTACCTGTGTGTTTGGTCTTGTGAAGGTCTGAGTCATCAATGTATTATGTACGGATCAAATAGCTGACACAATAGAGGTTCAAATATGATCTTTCTCCTTTTGTCGTGGCTGTTTGTCCATCTGTCTGTTGAGAATGACCCACGGGCCTTGTGTTTAGCATGAAAGAAGAGAGGGCTGGGCCGTTCTTCAAGATGAAAGCAAGCATGTGTTGCAACAAAAGACATTGTAATCATAAAGGCCTTTGAAAAACCTCTAGTCTCTCATGGTTCCCGTTCAGGGAGGGGCGAGAGACACCCACTTCAGTCCACTCCTAGTCCAGAGTTTGAGAGAGCAGTACAGATGACTTTACATGTCTAAATGTGACCCAACGGGAGGAGCCGGACAGAGACCGCGGCATTCTGGGTAACCGCTTTGTCCATCTACAATGAGCCCACGTGGTTTGTCAGCTTGCAACAGCTAAGCAAAAAAAAAAGAGGGAGGCTGTGGTAAGTCCACTTAAATTGTCTGAGCACCCAACGTGATGTCAGCAGATGGCTGATCGGAGAAGAAACCTCCGATCTCAGCTCCCTGTCCATCAGCCAGCCTCAGCTAATCCCCTCAGGACACTGCCCAAGCTTTACCGTTAGGTGGGGGGGGGGGGGGGAAAAAAGGTTTTTTTTTTTTGAGGGGGGTTCCATGTTCTCAGACTTGTCAGAAAACCCCTGATTTGAACAACTTAGCTGTTTTTTTTACAAATTATTTGCAGGAACTAAGGAGCCCCAGGAACTAAGCTCAGGAGTTAAAAGGCCCTTTTGAACATGCGTTTGCATAACCACTTCATTTGTAGAATTGTAAAGACATGGAAATGTAACGATAATGGATTAATAAGCAATGGCTTTGTATGACAAATTCAGAGAGCACAAGGTAAGAACTTCTGTCCAACCGTCAAAAACTCCAAGACATGTAAATTCCTAAAATATAAAACCTGGAAAATCAGCAAAGCTGTCATAAATTGACTTTTTATCCAGTTTTAAGACACATTTTGACGATATACTTTCTAGAACTTGGTAATTTTTAAATATAATTATTTGGATAAAGGATATTATGCATCGGATGTTCGGATCTCAAGTGATCAGCAAAAAAAAAAAAAAAAGCTGGGGCCAGCAGTGTCGGAGAAACACAGATGTTTAAAGTGTAAAGGCTCCCACTAACAGTAGCCTCAGAACTAGTGCTGAGCTGCATGTATTTTTTCTTATTGTTTCTTACTGTTGCTGCCAAACTGTGATATTTGACTGTATGTTAGAGAGGAGTGATGCAGGAGAAACTCTGAAGATCAATTGGTTTTGTGAAGAGTTCATGTCAGGCAGATTTGTTCACAAATATTTATCAACAAATGCTGGGGAAAAAGTCTACGTACAACATAATATTAACAGTTCTATTACTTTAAACACTCCAGTGTAAATCAGCAGACGTTACCTTCTACCGTAGCACAACTGAGGAGGCTCTCCGATCAATAGATTACAGAACATGCTGCAATAAATGTATCAGAGTATCAATTATCGGAGTATTCAATTATTCCCCAAATAAGTAGAAATTAAAAAAAAGGCAGAACTACCTCACCTCTCCCACACCACACTGTGAGAAATATTTTAAGCCATCTGAGATTCTGGACAAATAAACAAAAGGAAGGAACAGGAAGCAGCTCGCAGCACAAACCAGACACATGTTGCTCCATTTCCTCTGCTCTGAATAAATACTGTACGATCGATTCGCCCCAATGGTGTTGCTATATGTGAGGTCCTGTTGTGTGTGGTATTATGTCACTTTCACACTCCAACAACCCACACCATGAGCGCACACGCACACGCACACACACACACACACACACACACAGTGTTTTTGTCCGTCCACCACAGGCTTGGTCACTCCTTGACCAAGCCCCCCCCCCTCCAGCTACAGAGTTCAATCCATGTTGAGGTGCCTCCCTCCTCCATCTGCACCCAGCCCCGGCCCCAGGCTTAGTCTGGAGGTTTGGGAATGTCCAGCATGTCAGCCTGACACCACCATAAAAGCTTAAAGAGCACCTGACCTCTCCCGAGGCTTTCACTTGTGTGGAAGTTGTGTTTGTTTTCAGAATGTCACTCAAGCTCTCAAGGAGGTCACAGGCCACATGCACACGCATTGTGTCACTTTTGTGTTCCAAACATATAAATCCCAAATAGAGTACACACCACTTGAGACTGTACTGCTTGCTCTACCTTACTATAGAAATGTGTTAGAACAAACAACACACTGAACGTTTTGCTGTTCTTAGAGTCTTACGGATTGTGGTCATGAACTGTTAAGTTTGTCCTGTGGGTCAGGAGGGGGACTGGGATTAATACAATTAAAAGGATATATCCAACAGAGAGCATGAAAGTCTTCAGTTAACTTTCAATTAGATTAGCAAATATCTTGCTTTCAAAGTGCAATAAGAATACTCGATGGGTTCGTCCTCAGTGGAGAATGAATGTGTGAAGTATAATTCATCATTTTGAAATGTTGTTAGTGGTAGTTGGTCAGATAGATAGTTGGGTGAGAGTAAGAGTCATGGGAGCCCCAAAAGCACCAAAATTCTTTATCTGGGGACCATGAAAATCATGATCCAAAGTAAATCAATCGTCAAGATAACACTGTTGCTTTTGGGACAAAGTGTGAAACAAAAACACGGTCAAACTCGTATGTTTATATCCACACGGAATTCTCTCATCAGCTACTGGATGGATGACAGGCATGCATGTGACCCTGACCCACCCCCCCTGACTCTCCAGTTAGCACCACCAGCAGGAAAACTTTCACTTCATGCCACACTGTTTTTGGTGTTAAAAATAATGACTATTCACTATTCACACCAGCCTCAGAATGACTATTTTTGCATTAGTAAGTGTAAAAATAATTTGTATTCAATTATACTTGGAGTTAATGAGAACCATTCAAGGGTCAGAGGTCAAATAAATAAGTAACTCAAATACATTTCATACAAGCCTATTTTTGGAGTGGCTTTCAAAGCAGGTCACTACTAACCAATCAATCAGCCCGTATTGACAACGCCGATCCGTAAATGTGAGACAGCGGAGGTCGTGTGCAGAGCCCTCACCGCCAGCTGCAGCATCTGCCGCTCCGCTGTCGGACACCGCAGGCCGAGACTGAAGTGACAAACGACTGCGCCACTGACAGAGTTCGGCGAGGGTTCCTCGAGGATCAGCGGTGTTGAAAGCAGTGTGGGAGTCGGTATGACGGAGGGAGATTAAGAGATACACGGGCACACGACATCTTCTGTCCGTCAGATTTGAGCCAAAATCATTGTATGATGCTGTCGGTGTGCAGGTGCTATACAAAGGTGGAGCCGTGAAGGCATTAAGTACACAGCTCGGCTGTTTTCCGTCACGCCATGTGGTCAGCTGCTGTGTTTGCCTGGTGAAGGTCCAACTTTTAACGAGCACAAGAAAGTCAACGAAGCATGCGAACACATTGCTTCACTTAACACAGGGACACATGTTTTGTCTATGGAGGACAAAAATGACTTAATCATCAATAATAAATATGGCAGTAAATTAATAGAAGAATTAATATACAAATGCATGCTGAAATGAATACAGTAATTAATCTGGTTCTTTGCTTATGAAAATTAAGCCTTTGAGGTTTATTATTATTATTTTTCACTTGCTTTTGTTCTTTCATTTGATTAAAGTATCTATTTTTGCATATATTTAAGCATTTATCTGTTAATTTACTTACTTAATGTTATTTACAGCTGGGTATTTGTATCACTACCGAGCTGCTCTTCCAAAACAGATGGCCGTGCCTTGCTCAAGGGCACCTCGATGGTAGCTTAAAAACATTACTCATTCACTTTACCCCGACGCATTTTCCCCAGCCAGTTTGACAGCCGTTGTTTTTTTTAAACAAACAGAAGCACACAGCCGTACAAAAGCAGATAATATTACTTTTAAATATTCTCTGCCAAGCGGCGCTCGCCGTGTGTGTAGCGTTCAAAGTGTGTAACAGGCTTTCTCCTGACAGCCACAGCTTTGTTCCCGGAGCTTGTCACTGAGCAGCCAGCCACGCTGATGAAAGCCCAGAAAAAAAAAAAAAAAAAAACAGATAACGCCACAAAGAGAGACTTCAACTTCACAGCCCGCGTGGCCTCAACTTTCCCCCAGGCCTGGATCAGGCAGAACCCTGTCGTTTGCAACAATGTTACTGTAAAGAGCTCGCTTGACATCCGACTCGGAATCTACGCAGATAAGGACGTCTGCAGAGCAAAGGAAAGGCCGCTATAACCCACGCAACGAGACGCGTGAGCTGCAGGGGTCTGCGTTCAGGAGATTAGCTTGTGTTGCGCCGCAGTTTGATTCCACTTAGCTCCAAACTGTCCCTTACCTCACTCCTGGAGGGGGGGGGGGGGTGTTATGTGGTCGACAGCTGAACCCGATATTGTGGTTGTTGCAAAGAAACTTGCCCTCAGTTGAGAAGTGACGTCCCCCTCTGCTATCCAAGTTCCATTTCACCATGGAAACAAGTACACTCCCAGATAAATCACTTAGTAGTCACACACACAACCATGTACCCCCCTCACCTCTGGTAGCTCCATACTCACTGGTTTTGTTGCACTTGACTTTGGAGAGAAGCTTGTGCACCAGCAGAAGATCTCCAGTCTTCACCGCCACCAGCAGATCCTGTTCTTTCCCCATGATTACAGGCCGAACCACAGGCACACTGTTTTCTTTTTTCTCTTTTCAATGCTCCGTCAGGCGAACGGTTTCAGCAAACATCTGTCAGCGAGTTAGCAGGTAGCTGCTGAATCCCGGCCATGAGGTGACGTTAGCGGCATCTAGAGTGAAGGAGCCTCGGGTGAACTGGTCCAGGAGATCCGTTTCATCTCATCGTTGGGGTTCGGGTCCATCGTCTCCTCTGGGTGCCGGCTGTTTGGCGGTGGTCTTGGATCTGGAGTCACAGCAGGACTAGTAGAGATTTAGTTGCCTGCAGGACCGAGTGTACGCTCATAATCCGTCTCTGTCGACCTGGAGGACGCAGCCGTCCAACCAGCCATTACACTGCAACGCTGGAAGACACAGAGAGAAATCACTTTGAGGCTACGATAATGTCAGAGATGCATTCCATGAAAAGAGGGGCCTCCTGGTCCCCATTTACACCTGGCTTCAACATGCGTCTTAAGTGATCGGATCTCATTTCCCTGCTTTAGACGCAAATAAACATCATTTCTGTTTTCAAAGACCAAAACTTTTCAGGTGTCGTAGACAAAGCCAGTTACATTCTAAAACATGAAGACATTGAAAAAAAATTATTTTGTTTGAGAAACTGGAACCAGCTATTTTATTTCAATGAAAAACAATCCATTTTCTGTTGATCGGCTAATCGTCGCAGCGCTGCTTGTGCCAGTTGCCCCATTCAATGCCTTAATAACAATCAACAAGACAAGAGTTTTTGATAGATGACTGAATCAGGATTAGGCACAAAAGAAAAAGGATACAACATGTGACTTTAACCTGACCCAACTTTTATCTGTTTTCTCAGATCCAGGAAGCCCGGTCCCTCAGAAGGCTGCAGCTTATCTGGTACTCTTCCCGTGAAGGAGTGAGGTCCCCGTCCATCAATAACATTCCTTTAAGGGACTTTAAGGAAGCATTACTTCAGACAAAACCGTGTCTGGTGTTCTGCCAGCTTACGTTTTTTGGAAAAACTTTCTGTCATTTATTCCCCAAGAAGGAAGTTGAGGCCAAGCTGACCGCTGCTTCAAAACAAAACCAATCAGCCTGAAGTTGAAACCACTTAAGTGAAGAAACAAAATAAACAGGAAAAATGTAGTTAAGTGTAAAAACAGTCCCCCTGTTCCTACTCTGAGGCAACATCAAACACACAGCCTCCAATTACAACATTAGAGTCCATTATGTGTGCAAGACCACAATTAGGACTAGGAATTTGTTCAGAAGCATTTTTAATCTCCTTGACATCCCAACAGTAAACAATATGTTTCAGCAGCCGGCTTTACAAGTCAAAAACACGATGGACGATCGCGCCTTGCTGCCTATTTAGGGCTGTTAGACGAATAGCTCCGTTATTCCTCCTCCTCTGCCAGGTGATCGTGCAGCAGTGGAGCCCAACAGCAGATGGCAAAGCATGTCTTTGCACTGACACACGATCTAAAACTAGCCGGGCACCTCGCCAGGCAGTAAAGGGCCGCAGAGCCCTCCGCTACCAGGAGCCACAATGTAAACAAGGAGTCCACAAATGGGCTTGTTAGCCTAAATGTCATCGCACACAGCAGTGGTTAGATGTTTGTCACATTGGGTGACATGTTCATGGAATCCTGAGGGATGGGTGTCGCATATGTAAGAAAGCCCATGATAAAGTCTCATGTTCTGTCTGAAAACATAATCAATAAAGTGAAAATGATTTAATAAGGAATCTCAATTTATTGTTATGGACATTTGTATTCTTAAAGATAGTATTTTAGGTATCCATTAAAAACGCTCAATAGTATGTTTTGGAGCACAAATATCCTTGTAACAAGTTCAAACCAAATTCCATTCCTAACTCTGACAGTTTAATCCCACCCTGCTTTCCAGTAAATGTAAACATCAATCATGACAAGTTTATAGACTTGTAATAAATCATTACTATTGTTTGTAAATTCGGCATGCATCAAATCCACCAATGTGTAGTAACACCTCAGTAACACCTCATGCTTTCTAACTGGTTCATCTTCATCATGAAAAGCACACAGAAAGCACCGAGTGTTGGTAACGAGGAGTGTTGCTAAAAGTTGCAATTAAAAAAAAAAAAAAAAAAGTTCTGTTTGGGGTATTTTGTATATGCCGAATTTACTAGAAAACTTGAATGCGTCGTTAAAAGTTATCAAAGATTAATGCTACATTTCTACTGTTAGCTTACAAGTCAACTAACAACAATTTCTAGTGTTTGACAGCTCCGGGTAGTTTCCCCTGAACTCTTCGGAATAACGATGAAGCTCAGCCGGTATCGCCCTTCTCTTCTGTTTGCACACATTCAAGAAGCTCCGTCCTCTGCTGCTCGTAAATCCACCGAACATGTAACATTTAGCCTCTCCTCGTTTGCTAACTTGTCACTCCCAACTGTCAAGGTGTTCCGACTCCCGGCTGCCACGCAAAGTCCAAAAACACAAGTATTTCCATCTGTCACGCGGGTTATCTGTATAAATTGAGGTCGGCTCAGTCAGCTTTTCCCCCCGAATAAACAGGTTTGTAAAGAGAGGAGCGTTCTCACCTGTTGTAGACAGCGTACCGCAGGTGGGAGGCAGACATTCACTGTGGACTTAATGAGGAAAGAGCGCCGGACAGCACGAGACGGAGGCGCGAGCGTCAAGTCAATATCATCGTGTACACGACTTCCGATAGTAACTTTCAAAGTAAAGCTTTTATTAATTATGGTTGTCCAATTGAATTATCTGTCTTTGTATTTGTTTGGAATTCCCCACCGGGTGTTCACAAGTTTTGTATATTTTGCCATAGATTTCTGAAACGCCCTGTGCAGCCAGCAACCTTTGAGTAGCTCTGCCTGCCACTTATTTATGGTTTTATTTTGAAGGCACAACTTCTGCTATTTTAACATATCATCTTAACTCCAACTAACTTTACACAGTTTGGGAGTGTTAAATATATGACTGGATACAGTTTGGTTGAGACCAGAGGTTTTCATTATTACAGACACTCCAATATTCACACAGGGTTGTTTAGCAGGGACTCAAATGTATATTTGTTGTTAAACTGAATGTACCTGTCTGGTGGGGGACAGCAGGAACAATGAAACTTGCTATTGTCTCGTAAATTATGTCTAATTCAGACCACTTCTAGCCAACATTATATGGCCATTAAACTGCTGCTTGTTTCCTGCATCAGCCCATGGATGTATGGAAAAGAAGTCCCATGAAGGACCCCTGGAGATTTCGAAGAAGACCCCGAGCGTAGTGTGGTGGCGACATCTGCTGGTCAAATACTGTTATTGACATTAGTCATAAAATTAAATATCAAATAAACTAAATATTAAAAAAAAGATCAACGCCAACCTCAGGGTGCAGTTTTTCTCTGAACTTTTCTTTGGGGATTAAACTGATACAGATTTTCTAATCTTCTTTCTTATGATCCAGGCTCACAGGGATTTTGCTAATTCTGACTCTTTTTTTCAACTTGTCAAGATCATACTGGTACCATAATATGAAGACTCGTAGTCTATAAATAGACCTATATCTCAACATGTTGTCAGGTCAAATATGCAGAAATGAATAAAGAGTAAAAAGAGTATGATAATGTTTGTACATTTCTATACATCCATCTCCATGAATATAGATTTAAAGTCAGACCCTCTACTTCTTTGCAGTCGTTATGAGACTTCTCTTGTTTGCTCATTTAATGTAATGCTTGCAATGAATACAAATTTTGAAATGTACTAAAAATGCACCAGTTTTAAACTTCTGCTCTCCGGTGTGATAAGATAATAAGTATATGTTTGGCTTCAAAGTGTAACGCCTGAGTTAAAAAATGTCTTAACGTTCACCACTGACTAGCATAGAGTGTCTAGAGTGTATGCTGAGGTGTCTTCTATGTTTTAACAGTGTCATTAAATAAACCAGGCTGTATTTGAACTTTGATTTTCAGCCTTTTTACCTCACAAAAAATAAACTTTGGAGGAAGGAACATTTTGAAGGACAAATTTGAAAAAGGATTGTTTTTGAGACGGAAATGCTAAAAACAAAAAACAATACAGCTTCTTTCTTTTTTTTGCCTGGAAGACATTCCCCTGGAGGATATTAAGTGTTTATAGCGCAAATCTCTTCGAGTAAGAAAGTTGATACTTGGGTTCATGGAGGAGCTTTTTGAATTTTTATTTTATTTACCAGCTCTTTCTATCATGTGCCCTTGTTTATGATGACATTCTGTCACTCTGCATTCCCTTCTGAACCCTGCAAGAGCAAAATATGAGCAGAAAACATTTTATTCCCAAGGTCAGCTGTGAAGATACAACACATGGAAATCACAGCCCTCACAATTCACGACACATTTAGTGGAACGCCACTACAGTCCTCAAGCAGTTTATCAATATAAAACAGTTGATTTTGTCTTTTGCAATGGCCTTATTTTTTTTAAATTTGTCTTATACTTCCCTTCCATGTGATTTTGTTTGCTCATGTAAAAACCACAAAGTGCAGGTGACCACTGAGGAGCAGCAGTGCAGTAAAACAATCCAAATACACACATCAGGACAAGAACAAGGATGGGAATAAATATAATAATGTTCCCCAATGGCTGTTTCCTTAGGCTAAAGTTGATTTTAGTATAATGGAGCTAAACAATGATTGAGTGGACAAACCAGTATATAAGGAATCATTTTTGTAGTTACTTACAGATAATTACTGACGGCTCAAACATCAAAATGTTCCCAAAATAACAAAAGTTAACACCCTGTAACTAACCTGGCTGCTCGGTGTAGCTTCAGATGACCTGTGGGACACGGCAAATGAGACATTGACAAGGTGTGCTTTCTAGATTTGAGGCATTCGGCCTTCACTGTGGCAATAGCTGACCAAAAAGTGTGGTTGGTGGAGGGGTGTCTGCTGAGGAATCCCTGTTAGCGGGATTCTTAGGTGATCACTACAGCTGCCCGTGTCGGATGAACCTTGACTGAAACATTGCTTTCCTAGCTTTGTTAAACAAAATGTCAAACACATGGATATGAATTGTTATTTATTATCAAAATAATAAATCGTACAGCAACTTAGTAAAAAAAAACATCCTCAAAGTGAACAGGAACTACAATTCAAGTGTAAAGACAAATAATGACAATACTGTATGATGCTGCTGACTCTGAGCAGATGACTGCAGTGTCATACCAGCACTCTCTGCCAATGGGAGATCCCCACTCTATTACTGTAGTCATTCCCTAACACATCACCTGTATAATGGGGAAAAAACCCAGAAAGACTGAATATATAATGTAGAATTTAAAAGTGCTATATGATTTTAAGTTGTTTATCCAGTTACTTGCCAGTCTTGAAATTAGATATGTCCATTAAAGTCAAATTTTCAAGTTTCAGCTCGTTGTTTTTGCTCTCCGGCTCACAACTATTCAGTGAAAAAACTGTAAGAAGCTGTAAAAAGCCAGTGTACACTACCTGCTCAGCAGCAAACAGCAGACAGACACAGATAGAGACTGCCTGGTGAACACAGTGGAGCATTTAGCAGCTAAAGAGCCAGATATTTCCCTCAGGAGTGGGTGGAAACCAAAAATGAAGCTATCTGACTTCCATTTCCAAAGAAATAGAGCTCAGCATTTCACCTACTGGGTCAATACAATCTAGATTTAGAGCAATAGATTCTAAGAAATTGTATTTTTAAAAAGCCAACAACATGGCAAGAATAAGCTAAATTTGACAAAACTGCTGAAACTCAGAGAGCCGTTGAAACTGAAACTGATAATCATGTGTTGTGTCGGGTGATATTTAAGGTTAACCATCATTTGTGGCACTAACCGGGGACTGTACGGTCCGTGTACGTTGTGCTATTTAGTTTATTGGCTCGGGTCCGTGGTAAGGGGCAAATAATCAAACCAATTACATGTACTCACTGCGCTGGAGTTACAACTAGGTTACTTATTACCTCACAGTGGCAGAAATGGAAAATATATGACTTAAACTAAAATCACTTAGTCATCCATTTTTGTCGTTAAAATGAATGTCATTGTTTTTTTTAAATAAATATTTTTTTTGTATTGTAAAAAGGAAAAAAAAAAGACTTGTCTCAAAGCCAAACAATCTAAATATATATTTAAAATTTCATTTCCTCTTGGTTTCTCAAATGAGAACAATTGGTTTACAGAGCAGACATGTTGCTGTAGCAGACAAACATAAAGCCATTTAAGCTCAGTTGGACTTCCGGACCCTGTGAATGTGTTTATGGGGCCCTTTAAGTACAACAGGCACAACACGGACCATGAAGGTTAACTGTAAAAGCAGATGTTAAATTTTATTCACAAATTTAAACGCAGGTTTTTACAATCATTCCGAGTGTGTCAGACACAAGTTGGCTTTTCAGTTTGTGCAGCATCACCACTGTGGTCGGTAACCACCACGTGGCAATTGTACAATCTGATGCCGAAAGCAACACAAACCAAAATTTTTTGCACCGAATCACCAACAAATCTGTCAATCACCGTGACAAATGGAAAGAAAAGTGATTCTACATTAACACAGTTCCATTGTGGTGGCTCCACACTGAGCGGATCTCCTGTTTATGGCCACAGGCTTCAACAAAGCACTTCAGAGTCCCTGATTAGCATCGTTTGATTTTATCAACGCCGTTAGGGGGCGTGGTCAAGCACTTTACGGAGATACACGGACACAAGTGGGAACACGCGTTGTCAGGATTTAAACAAATATCGCTGTGACTGGAGAGCCACACTGGCCAACGAGAAGCAACCAATCACCATTCAGGAGATTTAATAATGGATCACCATTAAACATGAAGGTCTTCAACCAAGTTCAAAAATATTCTGATTTTCACAGTTGGATCTCAGCCAATAGATCAGGTTTTGATGGTTTAAGATGGAACACTTTCACAAACTCTTAAAGAAATAGAGAGACACTTTGGGAAATGAGCTCATTGGCGTTCTTGCTGAGCTGCATGGGAAGATCAATAGCACTCTAAATATGAAGCTAAAGCTAGCAGTCGGTTAGCTTAGCATAAAGACCAGAAACATGGGGTTAGCCTGGCTCTGTCCAATTAACACACATCTCCTTTAAAAAAAAAAAAAAAAAAAAAAAAGCGTGAAAACTAAACTTTAGGATGTCACTGCTCTACAGCCAAACAACAGGCTTATAATCGCTGTAGTGCCACAACTTTTCAGGATTAACCAAAAAAGACAGTAAGTAAGATTTAGAGGTGCCGGTTAGTATATCCTTTGTTAGAGACAGACAGAGCCAGATGAGCTGCTTCCAGTCTTTATGCTAAGCTAACATAACATAACCAGCTTCTGGTTGCAGCTTCATATTCAGCGTACAGCGCTGTGTCAATGTTCTCATCCAACTCTCAGCAACAAAGTTAATCATCTCCCAATAAGTGTCAAACTATTTCTTTAAGCTTTTTTTTTTTTTAGTTCAGGTAAAAACAACAGTCAACTTTCACAAGCTCTTAACAAAAAAGCAATTAGGGAAAACATATTGCACAATGTATGAAAGAAAAAAAAAAAAAAAAAAAAAAAAAAAGGACGAGGCAAACAAAAATATGTGTTAATTTTTTTCCTGCTACTATTCTGTACAGTTGTTTTGAATTAGAAGTTCAGTCTGGCGCATTGTGTTTATACAGTGAATATAAGAAAATCTAGTAATACTAAGGTGAGGCTTCACAGCGCAGGACCATTCGGATTCTCCTCTGCGAACAACTAATATGGTACATAGGCATATACACAAACACACGCATATGACAACAATAATATGTGCACACATACAGTTTATCTCCAGTCTCGAGGCACTCCCTACGGTTCGGTTAGGTGGTGTTAGTCGACAAAAATCTCAATAGTTTCAATCCGTCTAACTATCAGAATCATCCGTGTGATTAAAAATAACCAGCCTTTGTAAATTCCTCGGAAGACGTCTTAAAAAGCGGCACGCTGTCCATTCAAAGAAAGAACTTTCGCTCTTCTCTCTAGTGTTTGGTTTGGGGGACAAGCCGAGTCCCTCTGTTCAGAGACCATCCTCAGGAGTCTGAGAGAGACAGAAGTCTGCGTCCTTTTGGTGCTTCCATCCGTTGATTAAGTCTCTGCTCCCGTCATCTGATGCTCTTTACAGAGTCTGTCACGATAAGGAGAAGTGCAGTGTGGGACCTCTTCTCAAAAATAATAAAAAATGTAAAAAAAAAAAAAAGAAAACAAACAAAAAAAAAAAAAACAGGCGTGTCAAGTCTCCAGGTGGATCAAAGGTCATATTTTCTCATCGGTCATCTCCAGGAACTGGGCGTACACATCCCTGGCACACTCCCCTTTCTGGTTGAAGAGGAACTTGTAGTAGCTGCCGTCAGCACAAATGGCTGCAGAGTGGAGGAGGAGAGAAACGAGAGTGAGCAAACAGGCCAGACACACAAACAATTGTCCAGTGGAATAAGTTCAGTCGTGTTTTTGGGTGGGTGTGAACGGTATGGACGTTGTGCACATTGATGGCTGCATCTGCATTCGATTGGAGCGATAAACATCCAACTAACCGCTACGAGAGCTTTTGTGACGACCGAAAAAGACATACGTCGCTCGCTACTGGTTGGTTAGGGCAAAACTTGGAGAGAGAGAAAAAAAAAAAGAAAAAAAAAAAAAAAAAAAAAAAAAAAAAAAACTATGCGAGAGTCAATATATCTAATTGGGTAATTTTCTCATCTGAATAAATTGAAGTTACTCAAGGGTTTGTTTGCAACCTGTAGGATTGCATTTCTTGCGATGTTCTCAGGGACCGTCCACAACAAGCATTACACAGGTTTGAGAGTTGTATCCTGAAAAGCTTCACACTCCAAACTGAACTCACCGATGACGGCATTGGGCTCCGTCCCGAAGGCACACACACAGGGAGAGCCCGACGGGACCTGGAACTTGGAGAAGCTCCACTTGGAGCTGAAGTATTTGGGAAGAAAGCTGGCTGATGCCAAACTGCAGGCAGACAGAGAGAGAAGAACACAGGGTTAGACTGAGAATCATTATCATGCAGCAGACTAGATTTGACATCACGTGTGGAAAACAATAAAATAAATATTTAAAATAATTCAGTTGAGACTAACCTCGACTGTTTGTTCCTTTTCGGGTCCTCTGCAGCAAAGATGTGCACTGTGCCGTGGTCACTGGACACGCAGATGAGGGACGCGTCCTGGTTGAAATTAATGCTGCGAAAGACCGAGCAGATGGAAATAATGAGAACCAGTTCACCGCTCACCTATATTATAAAAGGCCTGAACACATGTTCTATGAAAACAAACAATGTCGTCAATTTCACGCCGCAGTGCGAGTAGCAGAGCAGTGTGTGACTTAACAATGCTAGTGGTCTATGGCTTAACTAGGCCACGGTTTCTGTCGTAAAGATGTGAACAGTGTTGGTGCACGACGCTCACCAATAGATGCTAGCTGCCTGAGAGCCTCGTCTGAGCTCCTGTATGAGCTGACCCGCGGATGTGTCGAAAATTCTAATGAGGGTCCCCTGCAGAAACAACATGGATCAGTCACGGGGCGGCGGCGACAGAAACAAACGACACAACAGCCGAAAAAACATTCCATTCCCGGCTCACTTTCTCTGACGCCGTAGCTATCCTCGTGCCCTGCAGATTGAGAGCAATGCAGCACAGCGCCCCCTCGTGGGCGGGGATATCGACTGGGGGCTTCTCCGTGTTGGCCAGGTCCACTATCTGCACGTGGCCCGAATGAGTCCCGGGGAACGCCAACAGGGAGTTGTTGCTGTTGGGACACAGCACGCACAGACCTGAGGAGAACAGGGGAGGGAGGGGAGGGGGGGTTGGTTATAATGTGCACATGAACATTTTGTATTTTTATTGTTGCAGCGCTTTGCTAAAGACGTGGCACATTTATAGTCAACTCGCCAACAACAGCGCTGACAGAGCAAACTGTTTTAACCTGAGGGGAAACCAGAGGTGTTTAAACAACGCCCGGTTGGGTTTAAAGATGCTCAACCAAATCCCTTAAAGAGTGTGTGTGGCTCAAGAGGGTAAGTGAGTGTATGGAGCACAGCAGTAGACAGACCTTTGGGGTTATAGCAGGTCTCAAACACATGCAGCTGATGGGGGTTGTGGGTAAAGGTGAAGACTTTGATCATCGAGTCCAGGACAACCACAATCCTGAGAACAAAGGGAGAACCAACTGCGATTTAAAGCAAATGTCAAAAACTCTACTAAACCAGCATCCACAAGCTTCATACTAATCTCACACGTCCAGTGTTCAAATCCAGAGACTGACAATGAATGAATCAATTCACAGCAAGCACAATGCTAGTATGGCTGCAGCCACTGCATCATAGCGCGTCCCCGTCTCATTACCACAGCACTGCTCTAGGATTAACTTGAGAGTTTTGGATGCCTGCTGACACAGAAGATATCGAAACCCCAAGGAACCTCCCATCCACCCACTCATGCATTATTACACAACACTTATTTTGCAACTGTCAAAAATGTTGTTTTTTTTTTACCTGTCACGCCGAAGCTTCACCGCTTTGACTTCTGTTGAGAACTCAATCTCAATTACCGTCTTCTTCTTCAGGTCATCCCAGATCATCACTAGAGCACACACAAAACAAACAGCCACATGAATAATATTCAATTGATCAGTATCGTACTTATCAATTATTAAAAGTGTATGACCTATAGATAGGTGCCATTGTATCACATTGTTTCAGTACTTCCTGGCAGTGTAGAATAATAATTCCTGATGATATACTTCAATAAATGAACACTGCCTGGACCTGGATGAGCAGCAATGATTCATTCACTGAAAGCCTCTGAACACCCACACAGGTGTTAAACTGGCTCATTAGACCTCTGCTTAAGACTGTGTTGTTGAACCTGTTGTGGTGGGACAAACTACAACTTTATCATTCTTATTGGCAGATGAAGATTTGTGACCCAATAGATTCCCATCAAAGCTCCAGCCCACCTTGGACCTGAGCAGAGGTGAAAACAGCTGTGTGGGTTTAAAGACTTTAGGTTATATCTTACCAACTGCCTCCCACTAGGACCTTCCATGCTACCGTAGCCAGCAGGAATGACAGTGTTTGCTACAGGTGTGACGGTGCAGGTCTCCTGCAGCGCAATCCACTGTCCCAACAATCCCATATTTAGATTGTAGGTGGGTGATGTCTCCTGCCAGCTTGTAATGACATACAATTTTTTTTTTTATTAAACTAACATCACTGCCCACTGCAGGAAAGAGAAACTGCCTCTGACTTTTGTAAGTTACATTTAGGACCTTACACGGTCCATATAGATACTGATGGAAAAATGGAATCCACGCCGTCATTTCTCAGAACAAAAGCCTGGCTTACGTCCAGTATAAAGACGACTGCTGATGTTAGGGGATAATAAAAACGATCAATCAACATTGCTAACTTCGGTAGACAAAACATACCTTTGTTGGTTGGGTACTTTGGCTTCTTTCCTCCTCCCACTAGAGCTAAATAGTTACACCTGAACAGCATCTCCACGTGGCCGACCCCGCCCTCCAGGAACTCTGAAAGGCAATGTCATTGGTGGTGAACAACAATACCAAGCTGTTAGTGTAAGAAAAGAAGGCCGCTCACTGCTTCTTATCACCACGGTTTGTTCATATCTAATGGCTCAGCCCCCTCTCCCTCCCTGCATGTCCAGCACACATGACATCAGCAGGAAATGGAGCTGCTACAAGCTGTAAAGACTGCCGTTAAAGAGCTGGATGAGCCCAGTAAAAACAGTTCACACGTCCTGTGAATCATTCCATGATCAGCTCAATCCTACCAGGTACAAAAGAAACTCTGGAGCAGGTCAAGTGCTGATTCACATCTTCGTGTGTGTGTGGGGGGGAAGTTCCTCTTATATCCCTCCATGTTTACGAAGTTTCAATTCTGTCAAAAATACTCTGTTCCTCTGTGCAGCAGAATTGGTTGGTTTGAGTTATATTTTGGCAAAGAACCCTGATCAGACCGAGGCAGTTGAAATAGCGAGGCGCACTGCACAGACTGCTCAGTGAACTTGTATGTAGGCATGAACGTGAATGTCCACAGAGCTCGTTACCTTGTTTCTCCTTCTCCTTGAGAGGATCTGTGTTGTAAACACGGAACCCGTTCTCCATTCCACAGGCAAAGCACCCTGTGGAGACAGACAGAGGTGCCAGCTATCAGAAGTCGATCACACACACGGAAGATTACATCACGCAAAAATGATTGTAATGTCAGAGCAGCCTTCAACAGATACAGAGTAGACACACGGCCCGGAGATGATACGCCTCTAATGGAATTCATGTACAACTGGCACACCGTATGTTGACATGTGACGACAGTGATGTTGATGCCAAAGCTAACGCTAGTTCTTCAGTGGACCATATGGAGTCTTTGGTCACGTTAACGTCACCTTCATGACGTTTAAACTACCCCCTAGATATGACAAAGCTAACGTAACGTTAGTTGGCACCGTTCATGAACGTTAATACCATTAAATGTACGTCAAGTTAAACCAACTTAAGACGAATGTTTGAAATCTACGGCCTGTGCAAATGTAGGTGGGTGGGGAGAAAAGAGAGTGTACTATGGAAATTATATTTACGTCTGAAAGCTGTCAATCTAAGAAAATTACTGGGCAGTAGCAAACATGACATTAGCCCAATAACGCGGTAATACCTATCAAACTTAGCTTCGCGAGCTGTTTTCTAGCTAGCTAACGTTATCGCTGACTTAACGTAAGTTATGCCGTTGTGGACATTCGGCTAGCTACATCAGTAACTTAATATACACGGTTATCAGAGTACCTAAACTGTAACCACACATTCATGTCTAACTTAATAACCAGTCATGTTACTCTAATAGCATTTGGCTAACGTTAGCTGACTTATCTGTTGGCTGAAACAAGAAAGCTAACGTAACGTTAGCTGACGTAGTTAAAGCTAAAGCTAACATTAACTTAACGTTCGGTACTTTTGGTGAACGTAACTGTTTTCTTGCAGTGACTACCACAATCAGCATTATTTGTTCGACTATTACAATTACAGAAAATGTAAAGCTATTGTTGTATAAGGTTATGCTTAATTTATGCTCTGGGAAGACATCCGCTTAGCAACGTTAGCTTAGCATCAACGACGCTGCCAATTTCCATTTGAAAAATAAACGCCACTTCTCACCATTATCCTGGTTAAATCCAGCATAAAGGAGCCCATTTCCATGAGGATTAGTCGGTAGTAAATTCATTATTGTAACAGAACAACCGAAAGCCAAATAACGTAAATCCTACAGCTGCTGCCTGAAGAGCTAACCGGCTAACGCGACCATTCCTCCAGAGTCTGCTGGGCAGAGAGCAGGAAAACAACGGAGGCTGCTCCTGCCTGGAGAGGGAGTTTTCAGTGCACTCCGTTAACGTAACGTTATTTGAGCAGATATTTAACGGTGAAATAATTTAAACATTATCTTAATTAATGTGTTGAACATATAGTGAAGGTATATCAATGCTTTTGAGACAAGCTCTGATCAAAGCAGGGTTTTATTCAGTGAACTTCAGTCGCCGTTATCGATGATTGGATTCACGTTTCCTGTACACCCCAGTTTGTGGTCATGCTTAATACAGAGATGATTTGGTAAGTGTTACTGAGACCGAGTTGCATGAGAAGTTTGATTTGCCAGCTTTTTAAAAAAGAAAGGGAGCTTTTGGTGCTTAGTAACGTGGCATATCACCATGAGTCACGCGAACATACACTAGATGTAACCAGTTTAATTTAGTAATTAAAACTATGAGTATGAAGCTCACATAGTGTATTGTACTTAGTTGGACAGTACATCGGTCATTGGTATACAGCCCCAGTGGCCTAATGGATAAGGCACTGGCCTCCTAAGCCAGGGATTGTGGGTTCGAGTCCCATCTGGGGTGAAATTGTTTTTTTTTTTTCTTTTAGCGTGACTTCAATATATACAGATGGACACATTTAATTTAGACACGCATGCATTTGGTGGTGCAATCTAACTTTCCAGCACCATTCATGTGCCCTAATTATCAAGGTAATGGCAGCATTGAATGAAATGAGTAGCAATCAATTGAATGTTTGAGCTGATATATAGTATAGTTTTGTGATAACGTTTTATATATATATATAGTTCTTCACAAATCTGCAAAATGGTTGAATGAAATTAATTTATAAAAGGTGTTTCGAAAATGATGCCATGTTTAGTTGAATAGATTGACTTTACTCTGATAGTGTAGAAGAAACTGTTATACATCTTTAAACTGTGATAACTGTATTCTTTTATATTGCATTTGTATTCATGCCAGTTCTGTCTGTAACCTCTGTGCAGGCAGAAACTACTTTACATTTAAATGAACAAACCCCTGTAACAGGTCACACCTTAATGTATCCATCACCTTTTGTAAAACAGACCTGTACTGAGCCCATGCAAACCCACTACTACAGACCTGTGAGTTGGGTTCTCAGATCCAACTCACTCCCTGGACTGAAGACAAATACACATCTTGGGTACAGATAGTTTCAATGTCCTTTGTCCTTCCTGAGAAGCTTAGCCCGACCCACACCTTTCGTCTGTTATTTCCTGTAATCCTGTATATAATCCAGACCAGAACTCTCTCTGGTCAGAGAATTCTACAGCTTTGTTGTGAATTTCTGTCTCCACTGCACAGTGAGTAAAACTCATCTGAAACCAGCCACAGAATGGACATTTTTCTTCAATAATAGCCTGTCTTGCATATTATCTAGTATATGAGTGAAGTTTTGCAGAAAATTGGGCTTTTTCACTGAAAACTGCACCCGAGTAAGAAAAGCACAGGCGTTGCCGATAACATGAACGATGGCTCCGTACTACAGAAGAGTTCCAGTCAGTTAGCAATGAACAATACCAGGGCCACGAAACTGAAGGAGCTCAATGGAAAATGAGCCACCAACAATTGTATTATTTTACGACTGTGGCGTGTCAAAATGTGTCGAGTAGGAAAAAGGCCTGAAGGCTGTAAAAACCTGTGGTTCTGGTAGATTGCTGACCAGGCAGTTGCAGTCCTTCCACTGTTCCTGATAGCCCAAACCAATTAAGGGCCATCTAGTGGTTGACAATTGTAGATATACCATTTGCTAACCACAATTTCAACAACATTCATATGCATGAATATATTAATAATATATGGTTACATTACTAGACCCCATCCCATTATATTTCATGTTAAACAGTATCCATTTAGCAGTTAGCATATACTGTAGAAACATGTTTTTGAATGCTTCCTCCATGCATCAAATCAAGCCTGAATTTCTGTCAAAACCCCCAAACACTGAAAGCAACTCAATGCCCTTAGAATCACATGAATAAAGTCACAACTGAGCAAATCCAATGCCACTTGGAATCAAATGTCCAATTTATTCAAGAAAAGAAGTCGATTCCCAAAGGAATCAATGATTATATCGTTTATACATACAAATCTTATGTAGAGCTACAGCAAACCTTCTGTAAAAAATACAAAGTGCCATTTTTTTGTTATTTTTTTATAATGCACTATACAATTACACAGTTCCCAACAATACACGCTGTGACATCAACGCGGCTGTTGAGGAAAACGTCCTTCTAGTGAAACACCTGCTTTTAATTCGCCATTCTCAGCCAACATCCGCACGGCCGAAAGTGTCCTCGAGCAACGTCTGACCTTCACTAAGAGACCGTCAAACAGAACAACCCTGTGCGAATTAGTACCCCGCTAACATTAACTACGCGTGAACGAGCCTCCTGTGTCGTTTCAAGCCATGCAAGCTGGAGAAGCCCTTGCTGCACACTGTGCAAACATACGGTCTCTCTCCTGTGTGGGTGCGCATGTGCAAGGTGAGAAAGCAGGACTGGACGAAACCCTTTTCACAGACGTTGCACTTGAAAGGCCGCTCCCCCGTATGGTACCTCCGGTGTATCTTTAGCTCCGCGGCGGACCTGAAGGACTTGTCGCAGTCGTCGCACTTAAACGGCCGCTCGCCCGTGTGAATCAGGGTGTGCCTCACCAAAGCGTCCTTCCCGAAGAAGCCCTTGCCGCAGAACTCGCAAGGGAAACGCAGCCCTTTGTGGTGGAAGTTGTCGTGCTTCAGAAGGCACCTCCGGGACGTGAAGGTCTTTCCGCACTGGGCGCAGGTGAAGGTCGGCACGGGTTTGTCCGACACAGGCTCACCGGACTGGTGCACGCGCTCCACGTGTCTCGTCAACGTGACGCCGTGCCGGAACTTCTTGCCGCACTCCCAGCAGAGGAAGGGATATGCTTTTGTGTGCTTTTTCTGGTGCTCCACGAGGTCGGAGTACGACCGGAACCTCTTGGTGCAGTGGGGACACTGGAACGGCTGGTAGCCGGTGTGCTTCCACTCATGTCTGATGAAGCGCTTCAAGCTGGCGAAGGTGGTCAGGCAGTGGGTGCAGGTGAACGGCTCGACGGGGTTGTGAGAGTCGATATAGTGCTTGTGAAGGGCCTTGAACACGGGAAAGTTCTCCTCGCACCGGTTGCACTGAAACGGCGTGTGCGACTCCTTGTGCATCGCCAGTGCCTCCGGGTCGCGCACCAGCTTCATGCACACCTCGCAGTACAGCGGGTTGTGCGTCTGCTTGTGGGATTCCAGCGTGGACTTGTACTTGAACGCCTTGTCGCATTCGTCGCACCTGAAACAATGCTTCACGTCCTCCGGCTGCTCCGGATCCACCTGCTGCTCGTTGTAGCAGATGTTTCTCAGGTGGAACCTGAAAGTCTGTTTGCACTTGAACTCGACGCTGCAGTGCGGACAGTAGAACGGACCTTCGAGCACGCTTTTGTTCCCGTCGGGGCTTTTCTCTTCCAATTCTTTGGAAGGCCCATCTGCGGAGGTCGCGCAATCAGGGTCCTGGTCTGCGTCGGTCTGCCCCTCAACAGTCGCCTCACCGGGAATCCCGCCGGATGACTGTTTGCCCTCATCTGCTGCAGTCTCTTGTTCCTTTGCCTTCCTGCCGGGCTTTGCCTTCGTCTGATTCGGACATTTGTGCTGCTGCAAGTAACGCAAGCTTTTGTAAAACCTTTTACACGTGGGACAAGAAAAGGGCAGCTCCTCCGAGTGTCGGTTCATGTGCCGCTCCAGGAACTTGGCCCGGCTCACCACCGTGCCACACACCTTGCACGTTCTATCGTCCAAGTCGTTGCTTTTGGTCGGGGCTTGGGATGCGGCAGACTTTTTGGGGCTGCTGTTGGTAGCGTTGCTGCCCTGTGTCTTTCCCGCTCTCCTCCACTGTGACAGGTAGCGTTTCATCTTGAGCCCGCGATTCTTTCGCACCGGTCTTTCCCATGTGACGTCGAAATCTGGGTCTTCCTGCCTGCCCCTCACTCCGCCTTGCACTTGGAAGTCTTCGTCGTCGGGCCGTTTCTTTTTCCTCCCGCGCCTGTTCGGCTTCTTCTCGGCACCGTCGAGCACAGTCACCTGGCCATCCTCCCCGATCATCAGCGTCCCCGATTGGTCGTAGTTGTGGTCGTCGGCTATTTCGCTCTCGCTGGCCTCGGCGCCTTCGATGGGGTCCGTGACCACCACGGCATCCATTTCTGCTTTCACCCCGCTGCCGAGACCACCCCACTGGGTTTGCACGCTCGCTGCAGAGTTCCCAGTTTCCTCCGCGTACACCTCTTTGTTCTCGGATTCCACCTCCATCTCTGTGCACACAGTGTACATGAGTCCGCTCTCTGCATCTGTTTCTGTCTGGTCATTGACGATCACAACTCTTTCCACAGGAGGGAGACACAGGGCTGACAAGATGCCACTGTCCACGATGAAAGAATCTGAAAAGAGGAGATTCAAGTTATCGAGTGTGTCATTTTAACAGATTATATACAAAAGCTGCTACTGACACAAACACCTTTGCTGAATGAAGAATAGTTTATTTGAGGTATGTTACTGTGAAATAGTGTTTCGTTTCTGAAGCAAACAAAGCGTTAAATCGAGTGTCGACAACAATCTGTGAACAGCTCACCAATGTCCTCTAACTGGCCGAGGTCTTTCTGAGTGTCCAGCAGGGCTTTGAACTCCTGAGGTTGAGCAAACGTCTCCATGCATTCGTTCAGAACAGAGGAGGCGTCGCTGAGCAGAGATGCAATCTGGAAAAGACGAAAACGAGAGTGAGGCAACGGCACTGCAATTTCTAAATGTTTTAATGTATTGGAATATAAAGCACAGAAATAGAAAATGCTATCGTATTTTTGAATTGATATGGAAGCCTACCTGTTGGAGAGTTTGGGTGGGAAGAAGCTTTTCGAGTCTAGACAGAAACAGCCACATCAGACTCTGGATAGCTTTGTCATATGTGGGGCCAAAGTCTCCTGGGAAAACGTCCTGGAACACAAAAGGAATTCCTACATGTCAAATATCTGAGCGGCCCAAATACTGGGCAAACAGGAGTGCACCATAAAACAGTACAAGTGTTTTCCCTGTAAGATGAAAACCTCATCAACCCCTAAAGAAAGGTGAATCACCAAAACATTACCTGGAAGAAGTTTCTTCTCTCCTCAGGATCTCTCAGCAGATTTTGGACAAGGCCCATGAATTGTGAGTCGGATTGTTCTTGTTCTGCATTATCTGACTGCAAAAAAAAAAAAAAAAAGTGTTTGAAAAGGCAGAAATAAAACACAAGAACTTCAGGACTACAGATCATTACTGCCAAAACTACAGTGACTTAAACAAATGAAAAACCCAAACCACAAAAAAGCAATCACCGCCTCCAGATATTTGACTACAGGTTCAGACTCACCTCCACATTCCACAGAGATCTGAGGTTCTGCATCCGGTCCAGATGTGGCTGAATAATATGGAGCTCAGCAGTGTCCTCGGAGCGACACAGCTCCAGGATCAGCTACAATCAGAGGACAGCAGCAATATAATGAACAAGTGATAGAGAGATATATATATAGATATATATATATATAGATATAGATAGATATATAGATAGATATATAGATATATATAGATATATAGATATATATAGATATATATAGATATATAGATAGATATAGATATATATATATAGATAGATAGATATATATATATATATATAGTGGGTACGGAAAGTATTCAGACCCCTTTAAATTTAATTAAATTTTTCACTCTTTGTTTCATTGCAGCCATTTGCTAAAATCAAAAAAGTTCATTTTATTTCTCATTAATGTACACTCAGCACCCCATCTTGACAGAAAAAAAACAGAAATGTAGAAATTTTTGCAAATTTATTAAAAAAGAAAAACTGAAATATCACATGGTCATAAGTATTCAGACCCTTTGCAAGTTTTTTAGAATTAACACCAAAAAGTTCAATCTTGGTCTCATCAGACCAGAGAATCTTATTTCTCATAGTCTGGGAGTCCTTCATGTGTTTTTTTGGCAAACTCCATGCGGGCTTTCATACGTCTTGCACTGAGGAGAGGCTTCCGTCGGGCCACTCTGCCATAAAGCCCCGACTGGTTGAGGGCTGCAGTGATAGTTGACTTTGTGGAACTTTCTCCCATCTCCCTACTGCATCTCTGGAGCTCAGCCACAGTGATCTTTGGGTTCTTCTTTACCTCTCTCACCAATGCTCTTCTTCCACGATTGCTCAGTTTGGCTGGACGGCCAGGTCTAGGAAGAGTTCTGGTCGTCCCAAACTTCTTCCATTTAAGGATTATGGAGGCCACTGTGCTCTTAGGAACCTTGAGTGCTGCAGAAATTCTTTTGTAACCTTGGCCAGATCTGTGCCTTGCCACAATTCTGTCTCTGAGCTCCTTGGGCAGTTCCTTCGACCTCATGATTCTCATTTGCTCTGACATGCACTGTGAGCTGTAAGGTCTTATATAGACAGGTGTGTGCCTTTCCTAATCAAGTCCAATCAGTTTAATTAAACACAGCTGGACTCCAATGAAGGAGTAGAACCATCTCAAGGAGGATCAGAAGAAATGGACAGCATGTGAGTTAAATATGAGTGTCACAGCAAAGGGTCTGAATACTTATGACCATGTGATATTTCAGTTTTTCTTTTTTAATAAATTTGCAAAAATTTCTACATTTCTGTTTTTTTCTGTCAAGATGGGGTGCTGAGTGTACATTAATGAGAAATAAAATGAACTTTTTTGATTTTAGCAAATGGCTGCAATGAAACAAAGAGTGAAAAATTTAAAGGGGTCTGAATACTTTCCGTACCCACTGTATATATATACACACCGATCTAACGGGCAATGTCAACGTCATCCTCCTCCTCACCCGCGCTCTGAGACCCAAAATGAGTTCGGCCCGCTGCCTCGTGGAGAGGAGTTGAGGAACCATCTCCGTGACCATGTAGACGAACTCCTCCAGCAGCCCATAGTCCAACACGATCTTCTGCTCCACCGTCTGCCAGATGGCTGCGGAGACCAGCCGGATGGGTGGGATGAGGAGACGCAGCGCGGAGAGGGGGAGGGAGGGACCTGCAAATGGGAAACAAAGTTGGCATAGCACCACTCTCACATTACATCAAGATGTATTTTGTATATTGAGAATATACTTTTGTATACAAGATAGCATGAGTTCTCCATGCTATTTCTGGAAATACATGGAATGTTTCATTGCTTGGAGCACCCACAAAATAAATTCCCTTCAACTCCATTTTTATTGGGTTAAGTTTCAGACCATGTCAATAAAAGCTAAACTATCTGCATAAAATCAAGTTGTTGTTTAAGTGAATCAGCCCATTAAACAGACTTCTCGGGACAGTAATATAATTTACACCAGAGGCACAAATCCACACCGTAACTAGATTTGCATAACGGTTAACTTTGATGTTCAGAAGCATAACCCGTTTATCCAGAGTTTAGAGAAAGAGATAATGCAACAAATGGAAATTACGGTACAAAACTGTGAAGCTAGCGTCGAGCATCTTGGTTCTTTATTGGAGCCAACCAAGGCTGATCCTGTTTGACTTACCAGCCTTTAATGCACCGATCATACATCCATAATCTAACGGAAAAACTGTGGTTTCGGGTAATGTTTGAGTTAAAATAAGGACTGCAGTGTTCTATGGGAAATCAAACGAAACTCAGGTCTCATATCTTGAGGCAGATGTGTCTCCTTTCAATTCCGGGATCTGACGTTAAGATTTACATCATATTACATGACATGATATGCAACATAACCAGTGGCACTCACACACTGAAAATATGTTAAGAATCACCCCGCATGGTTAAATATTTGTTTAGGGATTGTCACAGTTTATCTGAAACCAGCAGAGGCACTTCACGTTAGGCGTTAATACTGAGCGTCCTGTAGCTACTTTAGCTAGCATTAGCTCAGAAAGCACAGCCTAGCGTTATATTCTAGGGATAGCACGAAACTGCCACTTCACGTACGTAGTGACATTAATCTAGCTACCGGTATCCACCGGCGAGCAAATGTGTGCCAGTCCACGTGGAATTTAAATGAGTCATGTAGAGTTATCTATAAAAAAAACTTAAATCGTATAAGTTAGCAATGCCATTCCCGCGCGCGGGCTGCTTTGCGGCCTAGCCAAACAAATGTGTGTGTGACAGTTTATACTGACCAGAAACATCTCCGTCCATCCTACGTGTTCACTGCAGTTACATTACAGTCAAAGGAAACTATGTCCGTCGCTCGGCCGAGGCCAAACCAAATATTACTACGGCAGTTGCGTTCAGGCGACCGATGTGACAGAGGCTATCTTTGTGCGTCAATGATAGCCTTGCGTTCCGCCCGGAACAACAATCCGACAGGAGACAGCGAGGCTTGACAGGTTCCGCATGTTCCTCCCTATGTCACAGAATAATGTCAAGTGTATCTGCTATATTCAAATAAAAAGGAAATTCAATTTTACTCCCACACTTGCTAAGAGTTTGATTTCATTAACTAATGTAATGACTGAATAGTCACATCCTGTGTGTGTTCATACATAAAGAGGCGTACAGTCCGGTGTTAACGTGTTCCTAGACCTGATCACCCAATCAGCTCTCATCATGTCATGCACCGTCTCATCCACATAAAGTATGCAAATCACATACAACTGAAACATTTGTTTGTTTGATGTAGAGGCGTAACTGTTGTCAATGTATTTGAATATATTTATCTTTACAAAAATACAAATACATATATACATATATACATACATACATACATACATACATACATACATACATATATACATACATACATACATATATACACATATACACATATACATATATACACATATATATACACATATATACATATATACACATATACATATATACACATATATATATATATATACACATATATATATACACATATATACACATATATACACATACACATATATATATACACACATATATACACATACATATACACATATATACACATATATACACATATATATATATATACTCACATATATATATATACACACATATATATATATATATATACACACATATATATATATACACACATATATATATATATACACACATATATACACACATATATATACACACATATATACACACACATATATATATATACACACACATATATATATATACACACACATATATATATATACACACACATATATATA